TGGTAGCATTGGCTGGTTTACTACGATGTTGGCTGGAGTGACCTGAGCAGACATGTCGGTTGCGTACCCGTTCACAGCCGTTGATGTTCCAAGCGAAGTCGATAAAGGTGAAAATTATGGACCCTCACCACCTAGGCGTTGACTGCAGCGCTGATGAACAGGCGTCAGCTCGTTGGGTCGAAATCGCTGTGGTTCTGGACTGTGCTCCGTCACTCGAGAGGGGCTTGGTATCACACCCAGCACTTCCACCAGATTTGTAACGCACTCTTCAATGAACTCTTTTAATAGGCTAACGTAGACAGGGCGAACTTGTGCCCGAGAATAATAACACAGCTAGATTGTCTCGAGGATTTCCTTCTGCCTCTTCTCCTACGTTCTTCTTTTTTCCAACACGGTTCGCGTGCAGCTGGGTCCCGCAGGCTCGTGCGTCGCAAATTATCTAGAAGGCACAAGTATTTGCTAGCGCGCGTAATTTTGAAGTCACGTTGTGTCAGTACATTCATCATATAGAATTACCGCCATCCAGTGGACATACCAAGGAATAAATAAGAGGAGGCTACCCACTACTACGATGACTAGTACTACTACTACTATTACTACTACTACTACTACTACTACTACTACTACTACTACTACTATACTACTGCTGCTGCTGCTGCTGCTGCTGCTACATACATCGTGGATGCACGACGCACTGCTTAATGAGCTTCGCTCCTAAAAATGTGGACGAGTACCATACACACTCTACTATGAGAGAGCAACGTGTCCTCTAGAGGGGAGGGGGGGTAGAAAAAATTGTGAGGGCTTCAGAGCCCCGTTTGCACTCTACTGTGTGAGTGTTTTTAGGACAAACGTTCGACAATTCAGAGTACGATATACTTTAGTATGGGAGAGCTCAAAGCCGTCCCAGTATATGTTTAGAAAAAAATATATATAAAAAAGTCATCGCAGTTATACCCTACCATGGGAGAGCTACGTGTGGCTGTCGGGTAGCATTGTCATATTGGTATAGAGCATGACCACTTAGCGACTTATACAAATCTTATATACGCTGACCGACAAAATACTACAAGTGAACGCATCTGTGTATTGCACAATAAGAAGACGTAAGTCACGTATGAAACATCAGCACATCCTTTTGACTCATACGTATCTATAAATCTTACCAATCTCTTAATAAAATGTGGATGACACACTGTTGATTCCTCGATTTGTGTTGATTTTGCATGTGGCGAATTGACGTGCTTGATAGCGTACGTGTCCAGTCTCAGCTGTTTAAACGAAATTGGTTGTTCCCGTGGAGTGTGTCGCAAGATGTGAAGAAACATCACATACACTTTAGCGTATGCATTACATGAATTAATAGCTAAGCTTTGAAAGCCCGCATTGTCCTCCGGGTGTCCATAAAAAAGGAATATACAAGTGTATGTATATGTTTATCTCTATCAAACCAGAAGAAAGAGACAGCCAGTTAAAGTGGATTACTCGCGTTCCGCCACGAAGAATTTAGATCCATCACATGCCGCACTGCCATCAGCAGGCGTCAGTGTCGGTGGCGCCCCCGTTATTTTTTTTCTGTCCCCGAGGAAACACTTATCACATAAGTAAAATAAGCAAAAAAGGTGGCATGAAGCGAAAAATGGCAGCATATTCACGAAGTGAATGGTGGAGAGTGGGACGAAGCATCCGTCCGTCCATTCGTTCTTGCTTCCGCCCGTCCATGCGTGCGTCTGTGTGACCGCCCGTGCGTCCATCCGCACGTCCGTGCGTGCGTCTGTTCGTGCGTCCGCACGTCCACCTGTGCGTCCGTCCCTGCGTTCGTCCATGCATCCGCTCCTGCATCCGTCCATGCGTCCACCCGTCTGAGCAGCCATCCGTGCGTCCGTCCATGCATCTGGCTGTGTGTCCGTTCGTCCATCTATTCAATACTCCAAGTACCACCTTCTCCCATCTATTCATCATATATTCCGCATATAGAAGCACCGTCATCCAGCGGATATTCCAAGGAGTGAACGAGAGGAGGCACACGCCCACTTTCTTACTGGTTGCGCTTCGTGTCTACTTCCCACCTTTAACCACCTCGAGTTCATAGTATACACTAGTTCACTGTATTCGTGGCACTGCGGCCCAACGCTCGCTGAACCTTTCTAAAACCAAGGAGGTTACGCCCAGCGAGTTTAACGCAGCAACCCTTTCCTGTCAGATAGTGCTCAATGTACGTGCCAATGGCTGCCAAGGGGGCATGAGAGACAGAATTCGGCTTTTAGTTAACGCGCACGCTGCGAATTTTGTATTGTTCAACAACGCACAGAAGAAATCTCTCACCGGCACCACCTTGGAGGTCAAAATGTAAGACTGTTTACACCCTACACCACGACTTCGAGGGACGAACGGGTGCCGCTATAAGGAGCTTCGCCCCTAAAACCTTATGCTGCGGCGTTTATCAACCGCGTCCACCGATGGATGGAGTCCACGCAGCCGCCACGCCGAGTATGTTCGCCTCGCGAGCCGAGAATGAGAGACGAAAGGCCCGCGCTTCTACCGAGGTGCTACAGTCAGCGTTGCAGGTTTGTTCTGGCGCTAGAGTTCGGACATTCTTGAATAGGTCTGTGACCGGCCGTGGCTCGACTCTGCTTTGTCTACGCCAAGGATATATATCGAAGGCTACCTTAAGCCCTTAAGATCAACTAGCATCGCTGCCGGCTCGGATATTGTAAGGTTCTCGTTATTTCTTTCTTTTTTAAGCAAGAGCTCTACCAAGCAATGCCTCCCAAAGTTGTTCATCGTGTCGCAATCCCCTCAAGTCGTGGAACGCAAATTTCACAGGCATGGGGTCATGCTACGTGATCCCCTCCGGCGAGACGTCGCAGCTGTGCTCGCTTGGAACCTTTCTGCTGTGGTAGCATGTGAGCAGGCGAGAATTTAAAGTTCGCTTCGCATGAGCGCTTGGTGGATCAGTTTTGCCTTGGATGGGCTATTAGCCGAGTCGTTCGTGTGTGCGTTTAATGCGAGCGACAGCATGGGTCAAATCGTGAAGCTGATATAGCTAACAGCCAGCTGCGAAATCAGCGGTGAGGTGGCACAGTCCACCGAAAAGCAGCAATCCGTTGCACGAGCCGAGTGAGCCGCGCCTTGGCGATGCCGCTGGATGATGGATTATCTTCTTCAGAGAGAGATGAAGTCAGAACGTCCCATTGGCTTCCTCGCATGTAAGGTTGTGTAGCTGCGAATGGCAATTATTTTTAGATGGTGCACAGACAAGGGGGGTATAGTGTATGACGAAATCGTCGTCTGTTGACGTATATTTTTGATTGCCACCCATATGCGTTACGTATGTGTGTACGTGTGGGTGGTTTTGGTAAAACGTGATAGTCTTCTTACGACGTCTTCTATGCCTATACGCAGTCTCCAGTTCTTCAGTCACATCGCATTCCGTTCACTTAGCACTAGAAAAATGGCTACTCCATTGCACTAAAAATGGTGTTAATTGTGTAAAACTACACCAGAATGTTTATAGGGTCTCCAGGTTACAGCTTTCTTTTTGTCTCCATGCCATTTCGTCACTAAGATCTCCAATGCACTCATACGCTGCATTATTTCACAATGAATGTTCATAATAACATTCGCTAGCACCCTATTGCACAAATGAGACGGCGGTCTCCCATGCGTAGTGTTGAAGCCTCCTAACAGGTTTCGTGTCTTGCCAATGCGGTATTCCCTGTAGTGAAGCCACACGGAGGATAGAAAATAAAGGAAGTGAAAGAGGTTGCACAGGGTAGGAGAAGTAAATGTGTTGACTACAAAATACTATAGCAACGTGCATCCAGAGTCAGCTTTGCTGTAGGCTATCAAGCCTACTGGGACCACTATAGCGATGTTGTTATAGCTTATTCGAATTCTAGTAGTTTTTCACGATCGATAACTCGAGATAACTTCGCCGCTCAATGTCCTCTTGATGCTGGCACACGAGATCGACTTCGCCTTTACGATGACGTGGTGTGAGTAATGTCGGCAAGCAAGCGAAAAGTGAAGAGGTATTGTTAGTGAGACAAGTTACTGGAATGACTTGGGAAACGCGTGATGCAAGGTGCGATTTAAAAGTTTGCCTCAGAGTTTGGAATTCTTTGACAAATTTTTGTAAACTTTCTTCAAACAGCTTAGCACTGATTGAGAAAGAATACTTTTGGTTCTGTGCGGGCCTATAATGCTCGATCATGTCACCGAAGACAGTGTTGAGATCGATGTTCGTGGAATTCCCCGCAGAAAGGACGACCAAAAGGCTAGACGTTATAACACTTAAAACAATGCATTATGACTCGTAGAAAACATGGCTATAGAGTTTCGCAAGAGTTGCATTTTACTCGCATAAGCAGCCTGGTGGAACTCATCGAACAGAAAGTTCGCTGCGGAGGAAGACGCAACAGAAACGCCTGTGAAACGCGTGTTATACTGTGTACACAAACGGTCAGATAGGGGCGCTTAACGTAAAAATAGCATATAACAATGACGTTTGAGTTAAAATATGCCTGCGTTTCAGAGTATTCAATTAAATGGCCTTTCGCGCGCAGCAGTCAACCGAAAAGTTGCAGCTATATAGGCGATTTGTCGTGCCTGTTTTCGTTTTGACCTGAAATTTCGAGCTGTTTCGATTTCGATAATCACCACCGCACCCACGTCATAAACCTTTTTCTTTGAAGCGAGTGAGGCCGCATGAAAAAGATCCCGACATTAGATGCTGCTAATACGCGCAGGCACGCACGCAGAAACATACACACAGATAAGCGACACGAACAAAGCGTGCGGCTGCGTCGTCGACCTTTTTCCATTGAAACCGCAGTGCCCCGAATCGGAATTTCGGCACACGCCCGCAGGGAAGATGTCGAGGACTAAGAACGAAAAAGTACGTAATCTCCATACGTGTGATTGCGAAACCCGCACGCGTCACTCATGCATGTCTACACATTAGTATAATAAATATAATCATAATTGTTTCGTTTCAGTCTAGCGGCCGCAGCACGTCTCCTCTTCCCGGAACACCTGCGACAAGTGAAGAGGAATCGGTGGAATGCGACGGCTGTTTGGCCGATGCCCAACGCGAGGAAGTGATCACTGTAGAGCAGTGTGGACACTCGATCTGCAGGTGAGACGCGCCCTTGTGGAACGTGTGCTTGCTACGTGTGGAGCGTTTTGCTGTGTCGCGTTACGCTATAGAAAATACGCCGTCGTTGTCCCTTGGAGAAACACACTCTCGCCCAAAAGCACTCTCGCCCAAAAAGTCTTCTTCTTCCTGCTCTTTGGAGCGCCTTGGTGACGATCACTTATCTTGATCAGTAAAATACAATTAGTGCGCTTGGTGAAATGCAGGCAAAGCCACGTATAAAGACAGAAAACAAATGGAAGCATGCATGAAATAGAGTTAAAACAAGAGAAAGTAGGAATAAAATTCGAAACAGAAAGAAAGAGAAAGGACACAATAAAGAGGAAGGAAGGAAGAAATGAGAATAGCGAAAAAAAAAGCTTGTAAAACGAGAAAAACAAAGAAAGAGTAGATTAAAGAAAAAAAAATCGAAGAGAAACAAAGAAGGCAGCCCAGCTACGCACTTCCCTCAGGCTTGGCGTAGCTGCTTTAATTTTTTTTCTGATCCGTATCGCTTGCGTGAATGAGGCTAAACATGGGCTTAAATAATAAATCAAAAGCCAAACCAAAGTGAAGCCTTCTTTCGCAAACTAGGGTTACGATATTTGCGAAAACTGTGGAGTATGTTGAGATTCGGAGGTCATGAAGGCAAGTAGCGAGGGTACACAGAAGCGGGGAGGAGCGATGCTGCAGGGTGTGCCCCTTATTTTCAGCCCCCTTCCCCTCCGCTACTGCCCTTGGTTTTCGGAACTGACAGTTTCGTGTCTCATTTTCACATCTCATATTTAGGCAAGACCGTCTAAATATTGTTACGTGGTCGCGACGTTAACAAAAACAGTGGTGGCGTGTGCAAAATAAAACTATTTATTTGCCCGAACTTGTGGCCGGGAAAATGGAAGCTCCAACTACAACAAGCAATACGCGCTGTACACAGATGTCGTTGAACAGAGCATCGGCTGTCGATATACTGATCTACAGCAAAGCGCGTCGGTATTTACACATGGGGAAGCGAACATTCGAAAATTATCGAGTGAACTACTCTAGATCATTAACCACTTTTTCTAAGCACCACACCACACAGCTCCGCTGTTCGCGTTTGTGTGTCCAAGCCTAAGAGATGATTCTTAAAATAATATCAAACGCTCCGAGATATTCTGGTACGGTTCGCGTAAAACATCATCTGCCCGTTGTTATGCCTGCGAGTCCGCAGCAAACGTCCAGCCTCGGAAAAAAAGAAATCTGTGTCAAGGCCAGCACGCGAGCCCGCCTGACGCGATCAATAACTCAACGGCGTCATCACGCCACGGCGCCTTTCTGGCGCGCACGTGCAGTGAGTCATCTCAGCCGCAAGCCCGTCGAGTAAACAACCGGCGTCTTCCTGTCTGGCGGCTCACGCAATGCGCGGCGACGTCACTCATCCTTGGGTGCAGCCACCTGCAGCGCAGCCTCTCCAGATTCAATGAGAAAGAAGGACGCGGCCCAGCGGCGACCTCATTGGAGGATTTTGACCTCGCGACCAGCGGTGCTGCTGGTTGGACATTTGGGTTGGACCCGGGGCATATAAAAGAAGCCCTGCGGCGCGTCGAGAGCAGACCCCTCTGACAGCAGACCCATTTGAGAGTAGAGCTATGTGTTAGAGAGAAGAGCTCGGCTCTTCGCGTCTCTGTCGGCCCCAGTGCCGAATTTGTAACGCCTCTGTATATATCCTGTACATAAACCTTGTTTAACTCGCCGTCGTCTCGTCCGCTCGTCTATCAGCTCTGCGCAGAAGCAGTCGCGAGCTGAGAAACCTACGCTACCATACGGCTGGTGACCTTCCCGGCGGAGTTCGAAGCAGTGGCGCCTTCGGGACCATGTTGGCGTCGCCGTCTTTCGAAACAGTGGTTGCAGCGGTGAGATTTCAGGGCGCCCTTCGTAACGTCGTCGGAGGCGCTGTTGCGAAGCTCGCCTCCAATGACGCTACGAAGCGCGCCTCGAAATCCCACCGCTGCCACCACTGTTGCGACGCGCACCTCCGACGACGTTACGAAGGGCGCCTCGAAATCTCAACGCTGCAACCACTGTTTCGAAAGACGGCGACGCCAACCCGGTCCCGAAGGCGCCACTGCTTCGAATTCCACCGGGAAGGTCACCAGCCGTTTGGTAGCGTAGGTTTCTCAGCTCGCGACTGCTTCTGCGCAGAGCTGATAGACGAGCGGAAGAGACGACGGTGAGTTAAACAAGGTTTATGTACAGCATATATACAGAGGCGTTGCAAATTCGGCACTGGGGCCGACAGAGACGCGAAGAGCCGAGCTCTTCTGTCTAACACATAGCTCTACTCTCAAATGGGTCTGCTGTCAAAGGAGTCTCTTTCGACGCGCCGCAGGGCTTCTTTTATATGCCCTGGGTCCAACCCGAATGTCCAACACGAAGCGCCGCTGGTCGCGAGGTCAGAATCCTCCAATGAGGTCGCCGCTGGGCCGCGTCCTTCTTTCTCATCGAATCTGGAGAGGCTGCGCTGCAGGTTGCTGCACCCAAGGATGAGTGACGTCGCCGCGCATTGCATCAGCCGCCAGACAGGAAGACGCCGGTTGTTTACTCGACGGGCTCGCTTGCTGCGCTGACTCACTGCACGTGGGCGACAGAAAGGCGCCGCGCGTGTTTACGCCGTTGCGTTGTTCGCGTCAGGCGGGCTGGCCTTGACACACATTGCCTTTTTCAGAGGCACGGACGTCCGCTGTGGACTCGCAGGCATAACAGCACCCCCGCTGCCAGACAATGCGCCGAAAAGACGAGCTGCTTCCACGTGGCTTGGATGTCAGGCGCGCTCGTTCGCCAGGTCCCTCCGGGTTTGCCTCCAGGGCCATAGGGAGAATGCGGCTCCAGGCTCTGTTCCGGGAACACATCCTATTCTTGAAGACGGATCCAAGCTCCACTGGCTTGTCGCCACAACTTGCCGACCCGCTTCGCTCGTCTCTAATGACGATCTTTAATCTCACCACTTGTCGATGGTTCTGCAACTTGCCAAGAACGGTACGACATGAGACAACACATAACACAAGCAAGTGCCCTCGGTCACCCGACAGAACACCAGACAAAGTATAGTACAACATATACCTAGCTACGTGTCTATCAGAATTTCGTTCCCTCTACATCAAGAGGCACATGTGGGACACAAGACTCTTAAATGAGAATTCATTTTTTTACACGTACAACATCGTAACGAATTATAATACAACATAAAGTTGGCTCCTTGAGCTCACTCTGGACGAGAGCGTTCAGCTCAGGCCGTGATGAGGTCAAAATTTTGCCCCGAATCGCCAGCGAGAAACCGAAAGGTGGAGAAGGTACTAGCGAGAACGCACTGCTCAATGCACCTGCATTAGCGTATAGCTTTCCCTTTTTTTGTAGCGAACGTCAAAGTTGTGCTCTTGGAGTATCATGCTCCACCTCAGTAACCGGCCACTTTTAGGCAACAATACCTATGCGGTACTGAGGGCTGCTCGTACTTGCGACGTAGCACATCTGTGCAACTACAATAGGGGAGTCCAGATTTCTCATAAAAAGGAACATTCCCTCTCAGGTCCTCCTTCTGGACTTCACCTAACCTAGGCTCTAGGTTCAACTGCTCCAAGATCACCTCCAATCCCCTTTCGATTACATCACCAGAACTCCAAATTTCTGCTCCCTCTTCCTCTGAAGCATTTAAAAGTAAATTTACGACTGCTTGACGTTGAACGTATGGTTTCCTCAAGTTAATGTGGTAAATTTTGTTCGGCCACCTTCCTAATTTCACTTCATAATCGGTATCAGAAAGCTTCGATACTACTTTGGCGGGCCCTTCCCATTGAACCTCAACCTTGTTCTTTTTGAACGGCTGCAGCAGCATTACCTGACTTCCTACTTCAAAAGCGCGCTTCTTCACAGATTTGTCGTTGTACTCCTTCGACAACACTTGTGCAGCTTTCATGTGGCTTTCCACTAGCGCTTTATTTGAGGGGTTCTCACGCTGGTCTCGAATGAGCGTTTCTCGATCAACCCTCGACAGCTCACTCCAACTTTTCGCTACAGGCGAGAGCGTTGCATCCCTCTCGCTCTGACTCAATGGCGCCATGTCGTCTCCCTTTTCTACGGAAACTGCGCCGGTCACTTCGGTGACGGGCCGCTCGCGTGACTGCTCACATGACTCACGCGGAAAATTTCCTCTCTGAGGTTCCGTCGACCCGCCGACAAGGTCGCTTGAGAGTTCACCGCATTGAACAAGATCAAGCATCTGCGAAAGCTTCCGCGCTTGCGATCGCCTGAGGGCCATGTATGCTAAGTTGGAGAAGAACGATTTACCCTGCTCTTTGAGAAGCTGCTCCGAGTTGTTAGAGAAAAGATAAGGAAAACGATCGGGAAGCGCGGCAGACACAGCCGCTTCGGTGCGAAGCTTACCGAACGGGCCTTCAATGACAACCGTGGCGATCGGTAAGCAAGCACTCTGCTCCTCGGCGACTTGCCTGATCCACGAGCATTCTCCCGTAAAGTCATCCGGAGACACCAATGAAGGATGGACAACGTCCATGGTTGCCGCTGAGTCTCTAAGTGCTCGGCACGTTTTCCCATTCAAACTCATTTCTTGGATATACGGCTCTAACAACCGCATGTTCTTTTCCGATTCTCGAATTGTTGCGAAAGCAAACTTTTGCTTACAGTTTATCGTGATGTGCCCTTCCTTTTTGCAGTTGTAGCAGATTAGTGGCTTCCGTGATTCAAACGCCCGTGTAATATCAGTGCGTTGTTTAGGAACCTCACTCAATTTCTCCTCTTCTGTTTGCCCTTCCCCTACACTGTCCTTCGTAAGAGACGAGTCCTTCTTAAAATTACGGTGCGGAGCAGTTTTCCATTGATCAGGTTTATTCGAAAAGCCCTCTTTCCTTTCATCCTTTTCAACGCGCACTGCCCTGCTATGCAACTTTCGGCGAGTATAATACTCCTCAGCTAACTCTGCTGCCTTGTTTAGCTGTACTTCACCAAGTTTGTCCTGCAGCCAAAGTTTGACATCCTCCTCGATGCAGCGGTAGAATTGCTCCAATGCAACGCATTCCACCACTTTATCGCGGTCGTCATAAACACCTTCGCCCTTGAGCCATTCAATTAAATCAGCTTTAAGACGAAACGCGAAGTCAATGTGTGACTCATTCCCCTTTTTAGCATACCGGAACCTTTGCCCGAAAGCCTCGGGTGACAACTTATAACGTCTCAAGAGCACTTCTTTAACCTCGTCATAGCTCTCAAACGCTTCCCTCGACAAGCAAGTTATCGCGTCGGACACTTCGCCGGGAAGAAGAGCTAACAAGATCTGCGCCCAAAGAGACCTCTCCGAAGCATTTCGCTCACAGACGTGTTCAAACTTCACGAGATACTTCGCCATGTCCTCACCTACTACGAACGGTGGCAATTGGTCCCGAATTCTAAAACCGCTGACCTGAATCGTCGGAGAAGCAACGCTAGGCGCCTGCGAACACTGTAGGATTGCCAATTCTATTCGTTTCAACTCGAGGCGCTCCTGTCTCTCGGCCTCCTTGCGGCGTTCTCACCTTTCAGCTTCTTCACGTTCGCGAGCTTCGAGCCTTTCAGCTTCTTCACGTTCGCGAGCTTCTCGCCTTTTAGCTTCTTCACGAACTTCTCGCCTTTTAGCTTCTTCACGAACTTCTCGCCTTTCAGCTTCTTCACGTTCGCGAGCTTCTCGCCTTTCAGCTTCTTCGCCAGCTTCTCGCCTTTCAGCCTCCTCGCGGCGTGCTTTGATATCTGACCAAGCCTCATCGACTTCCTCAGCCGACACTCCCTCATCCTTCATGATCTCAAGGATCGCTTGTTTTCGTTTCGCACGGCCCAAAATAATGCCGAGTTCCTCACAAATTTCGATGAGTTCCTTCACTTTACGGTTCTCCATCGTTCACACTAGCCTCTTGCTGTTTGCCCTGTTAAGAATCTACTTGCCGTACCCACTATAAGCCTACTAGCAAGACGCGCAAGCAATTTTTCACACTCCCGTGTTTACCCCCTCCGCATTAACTTTGGTTTCAAAGCACTTCGGCTTTGCTTGAAACGATCAAAATTCACTTCAATGCTTCACATAGCCTTTCTCTAAACTACTACAACCTGAGCTAGAGTAGTCTGGTGAACTGAGGGGAAAACATCAGGCACTCACCGCATCGATGTCGCTGACGCCGGCCGATCCCGCAGCTGCCAACGACTGTTGCGAAGCTCGCCTCCGACGACGTTACGAAGGGCGCCTCGAAATCCCACCGCTGCCACCACTGTTGCGACGCGCACCTCCAACGACGTTACGAAGGGCGCCTCGAAATCTCAACGCTGCAACCACTGTTTCGAAAGACGGCGACGCCAACACGGTCCCGAAGGCGCCACTGCTTCGAATTCCACCGGGAAGGTCACCAGCCGTTTGGTAGCGTAGGTTTCTCACCTCGCAACTGCTTCTGCGCAGAGCTTATAGACGAGCGGAAGAGACGACGGTGAGTTAAACAAGGTTTATGTACAGCATATATACAGAGGCGTTGCAAATTCGGCACTGGTGCCGACAGAGACGCGAAGAGCCGAGCTCTTCTCTCTAACACATAGCTCTACTCTCAAATGGGTCTGCTGTCAAAGGAGTCTCTTTCGACGCGCCGCAGGGCTTCTTTTATATGCCCTGGGTCCAACCCAAATGTCCAACACGAAGCGCCGCTGGTCGCGAGGTTAGAATCCTCCAATGAGGTTGCCGCTGGGCCGCGTCCTTCTTTCTCATCGAATCTGGAGAGGCTGTGCTACAGGTGGCTGCACCCAAGGACGAGTGACGTCGCCGCGCATTGCGTCAGCCGCCAGACAGGAAGACGCCGGTTGTTTACTCGACGGGCTCGCTTGCTGCGCTGACTCACTGCACGTGGGCGACAGAAAGGCTCCGCGCGTGTTTACGCCGTTGAGTTGTTCGCGTCAGGCGGGCTGGACTTGACACAGATTGCCTTTTTCAGAGGCACGGACTTCCGCAGTGGACTCGCAGGCATAACAGCGCGCGCCGCAACAGTGGTGGCAGCGGTGGGATTTCGAGGCGCCCTTTATAACGTCGTCGGAGGCGCGCGTCGCAACAACGTGCAATAGGGCGGTGACGTAAAACGTACATAGAAAGGAGCGTGTGTGGCGATGTGCACACCGACCTGCGTAGTAATCACATGTTTTACCTTCTAAGAAGCCTGCTACGTGTCAGTCACGCAAACCCGCACCTGCTTTTCATGATCAATAATAATATAACCTAAGAAAGGAAATTTTATAAGAGCAGCAGTATTTCGTTCCTGAATCATGTTTTCATGGTCTCTTTCAATGTGAACCAACTCGCAACGTGTCGTGAGATCTCGTTTTTTTATCTGCTTAACCATAGTCATGGCCAGTACAGTCGTGCAAGCTCGCTCCAAACCGGCCGTGTCATAGTGTCGATGCTATCTTGGTGTTTTGCTATTTACAGGGATGATAGCACATCCTAAATAGGGGACCAATGAGGTGTGAACTGACACACCACAAAGAAGCCAACGAAAAACTTACGCTCTCAGTAGACTTTCCTGAACATTTCATGCCGTCGTGCGTTCCACAATTCTCTATGAAGTGTAATTTACCGCTTTTATGTACCGCATAAACTGAGCGATAATTGAATGGTGGCGCCACTGCCAGCGCTTGGGACGTATTGTGCAAAAAGTGGTGGTGTTTTTGATATTTGAAGACACTCTTGTTCTGCTCTATAATCTAAGTGATTGCGGTAGCTTTCTTTAATAGGAAAAATTAGCGCTGCAATTATGAATCGTCTGTCCGCATCTCTTTGGAAATTCTAAATTTTCTCTATGACCCTTGATTTTTCTGTTAATTCCATAATTTGTAAATGTTTGGCACCCCCATACGACAAAATTCCAAGGACGTGGCATATTTCAAGAAGAACCTTCAATTACGTCGTGAAATATAATTTGAACGAAAAAAAGAATGGCAGCATATCCACGGAGTGAATGATGGAGAGTGGGGCGAAGAATTCGTCCGTCCATTTGTTCTTGCTTCCGTTCGTCCATGCGTCCGTCAGTGTGACCGTCCATGCGTCAATCAGCCCGTCCGTGCGTGCGTCTGTTCGTGCGTCCGTCCCTGCGTTCGTCCATGCAGCCGCCCCTGCGTCCGTTCATGCGTCCATCCATGCATCTGTCTATGTGTCCGTTCGTCCATCTATTCAACACTCCAAGTACCACCATCTCGCATCTTTTCATCATATATTCCCCATATAGAAGCACCGCCATCCAGCGGACATTCCAAGGACCAAACGAGAGGTGGCACACGCACACTTTCTTACGGCTTGCGCTTCGGGTTCACTTCCCACCTTTAACCACCTCGAGTTCATGATATATACTAGTTCACTGTATTCATGGCACTGCGGCCGAACGCTCGCTAAACCTTTCGAAAACAAGGAGGTTACGCCCAGCGAGTATGACGTAGCAACGCTTTCTTGTCAGATAGTGCTCAATGTACATGCCAATGGCTGCTAATGGGAAATGAGAAGCGGAGAATTCGGCATTTACTTTCTTACGGCTTGCGCTTCGTATCTACTTCCCATTTTTAACCACCTCGAGTTCATTCATGGTATATACAAGTTCATTCTATTCATGGCACTGCTGCTCAACGCTCGCTAAACCTTTCTAAAGCTAAGAAGGTTACACCCAGCTAGTATAACGTAGCAACCCTTTCTTGTCAGATAGTGCTCAATGTACATGCCAATGGCTGCTAATGGTGATCGCAGCCTGCGTGTTAACTAAAAGCCGAATGCTCCTGTCTCTTATTCTCCATTAGCAGCCATTGACATGTACATTGAGCACTGTTTTTTATTGCTCAACAACGCACAGAAGAGATCTCTCACCGGCACCACCTTGGAGGTCAAAATGTTATACTTGTTACATACTACGAGGGACGAATGGTGGCGCTATAAGGAGTTTCGCCTCTAAAAACTATGCTCCGACAGACACTTTTATTCATTTTTGTTAATGAAGAGCCTATGTATCTGAAATGTTTCGTATCTTGTGCAGGGAGTGCATATGTAGAAACACAATTGAGATGACTGGGAATGCCGCCCTCTGCCCTGTCACCTTAGAGGACGGGAGCCAGTGCAACTCTCCCGTACAAGACTCAGCGTTTCAACCGGTGAGTATATCCAGAAGGAAGTGCCGAAATAGTGAAACAAACAAACAGCAGTACCGATGACGATGAGAGCAGATGCGCGTATACAAGTATCGAGAAGTCTTGAGGTACAAAGTTGCACAATAAGCCAGAGGCTGGCGCGGTTTGATCTCGCTCGAGTCATCTTTATTCTCTCATACACATGTAGGTATCTGGTACAAACCAAGCATAATATGTGGGCTTGGCTGTGTACAGATGAAATAGCTTGCTTGTATGTTCTTCGTTTTTGCACAGAGTTTATCAGGCTTCTTAAAGCAGCGTTGAACTATATATAGTTTCCCGAGACAGAAATTTTGGCGTTTAGTTTTGTAATCATGCTTTACTGATTTTTAAACTAACATCTACTGCATCCCTATCTTAGTTCAAGACGCGTCGCCCACTTTGCAGACAATATGTGGCTTCCCTCTATAGTCTATTACAGTGTTCTGCAGGGTTCTGAATGTTCTACCGTATCGCAGTGGTTCACTGTCAAATATTTTCCACCTTCTGTGTCTTCTCGTGCGCTGCTTCACATGTTACGAGTAACTGTCACCAGCTGTACAAAATTAAAACCTTACCGAATGTTCTACGGGCCAGAAAACATTTAATGAGCGCAGGAAAGAAGCAACATACAGTACGATATGGTATTTTTCAGTCTGGTTAAAATAAAAATAAATGTATATTGTTAACGCCGGTAATTGTCGAACTGTGTGGCAAATAATAATGAGCCGAAAAATTCTTTTTGCAGCCTCAGGCAACGACATAGCCGGACTTCCACCCCAACCGGTGACTCTGCCAGTGCTGACACCACGTCTTTATAACTACGTCGACCTTTTGTAAGAGTGACACTTTGCGGTGTCTGTCGTCACAGCCGAACCGAACTATTTTTGCCCTTTCATTTGGCCTTGCCACTTAAATCAGACACCTGGTTCTTATGCGACGTTCCTCAATGATCTCGGCAGCTGTATTGGACAAACGGCCAATAAGGCATGTGCACAAGCCTTCTCAAAAGCAGGGCCCTCAATCTGGACCAAAACTGCTCTTTATTTTCTTCTACTTCATCCCACTCCGTTGCAGTCCCTAACGAGTTTGCAAATGTTCAAATCAATCAAACTTGATAGTGAGACATGCTTGCCCACTGCACGCCCTTCAGGGTCGAAGCGTCGGTACTTTCATGCAATTTAATGCTATTGTCAAATCGCACAAGTGCTGTAACAGGCGTTCTTGCTCTTCATTCATGTGCACGTAGTTAATAAGGGCGTAGCCCTGAGGAAACACTGCTCTTTTATACGCAGCTCTGTAGGAAGTGACTGAGGTATATAAACAGCTTTTTAATTACTCAATCCGTGTACGTAGGGAGTCTAAATTTGTAGAGAATAATTGTGTTAAAGCATATCAATAAGTAAACCAATAACTAAACTAATTTCAAATACTTAAACAAAAAATGACAATGTAACCATAGTCCTGAGTTGAAGATGGCATTAGGTTCGACTAAACAAAAAAAATGCGTCAGCTGCATGAAAGGTGAGGATAAATATGCACTAGAATATATTGTCTGAAGAAGATATACAGCAGTGAAAAACCTAGAATCTTGGAGAATGGTATCATTGTCGGATTCACTAAAAATTGATATTGAAAACAGCGAAGCAGAGACTGCGAACGCTGGTAAACGATGAATTCGCAGAGGATAATTCACCTCAAGTGAGCTTGTCAGTTCTTGTCAAAGTGGTCCCCCAGAAGTCTTGGTACATAGCAGGCATGTTATGCAACTCGCTTGAGATGCGCTAGATGGCTAGCTAGTCCGCGATAGCTGATAGTAACGCTCATCAGAAATGAGAAAGGAACGTACACATAGATAGACGTAGATGTAAGCACTTATGCATTCTCTTGAACGCATTCTTCGAACCGCTTCTCCATCAACCTAAGAAAAACTGAAGTATTTTTGATGTATACAGATTGAAAAAAAATGCAGTCAGGTAGAGGAATGCATTTCGCATCGGGAAAATAATTGTATACAAGCCATTTTGCCAAAGCAACGTACAGAATGCTAAAACAATCACATCATAGTCACGGAGTGAATGATGTTGAGTGGGCGAAGCTCCGGAGATACGTCAATAAATCGCGAATCCTCCGTAGACCACGCGAAGTCTATCATGACGTAAAGATGGTGAGCACACGCTGCAGCTTGCTTCCGAGCCCTCCGCTCCGACGCGTTGTCTTCGTCACTCATACTCAAAGCACACAGACTGCCCCCGAAAGAGGAAGCGCGCCAAGAGTGAACGCATTTTAACGCAAGAGCGAACGCGGCCCCCTTTCAGAGCACGCGTCAAAGTGAAGCGTCTGTTTTTTGTTCGTGAACATTGACTTGTATGAATCGGGTGATTGTCGGCGAGTTTTACATTGCAGATTATCCCAAGTGAGGAATAAATTTGTGTTTATGAAATAAAATAGTGAAATACGACTGCTGTTTAGTGTTTACTTTCGCGAGTTTCATAGTGTAGAGTGTGAATGGCGTTTTGGCTTTAAAATTTAAAGGCGCTCTGCAACAGTTTCTGAACATGTTCAGAAAATGTTGCCTATCGGCTGTCGTCCCTTCAGTCAGCATGTGAGCCAAGCATTATAGCGTAGCACAATGCGTGCAATTGAATCGATGGTCTGTTGATTCAACTGTCAAGCACGAGCTGCCACACGGGTGGTTTCGAAGGCCATTGAGCCAATAGGGCACTAAGTCAATGGAGCATCCTACTACTCCAGTAAAACTTGGATTGCCATTGAGCGACAGAATTAAAAATTGTGCAAGTGTGTCCTTTCGTTCACACGATCGAAAAATATATATAACCAGTATACTTTAAAACCAGTATATGTGACTTGTCAATTATTTTTTTATTATTTTTGCTGGTTTAAGTGTGTGAACTGCACATACTCTCGACAACAACCATGTGCTATCAGTGGGCCGTCGACTGAATTGCCTTTCGAAAGGGCCCAAGTGACACGAGTTCGATGTTATAGCTGAAAATTATTTGCCACGCTCAAGCAATGCTGTCATATACAGAAGTTAATTGCGTCACATACCCGAAAGACGCGGTCTTTGGCTGACTTGAACATGGTGAGCGGTAAGGGTCCCATTTGTGGTGACACGACATTTCCGTACCGCGGCACGAGCAAAAAAAAAAAAAAAAGCCGCGGCCAACGTCACACGTTTGCCGCCTGTTTTATGAAACCAATCACTCTCAATTTTCATGTTGTTCGTTTAACACTATATTGAACAGGGCTAACATTTTTTAGGCTTGTATTGACTACTTGACGGCGAGTGTGATAACGCCACATGGCACCTACGGATATATGTCAAGCTAGGCCCCTAAAACCATTACGTCCATTCTCACGTCTGCACGTAGTTTTGCGCTACATTAAAGCTTTTCAGCTTAATTACCTACGAGTCCACTTCGTGCCTCTCACCTGAAGATTAAACATTGCTTCAGAGACCTATTCGTAATACGGGAGTGCGACAAGTAAGCCTTCAATGAACGCTGCAGTAATACAGAGGGAGCCTACTTCGTTGACGCTGCCAGCCCCGTTGGAGGAATTTCTATAATAGCAGTAATACACTAAAGTAAAGTAGTTGATCGCCTATCACCTAAATGCTCTGATGCATCTATCCTAGAGGAAATTACAGCTTTCCATAGCAACAACGCACTCCACTGCTGAGTACGTACTTAGAGATTCTAAGGTAGCCTGCAAGAACTACACGAGAAGACTTATTTCACTTTGAACTCGCGTTATTATATGGCAGGCACGACCATGAGCCACGAAAAAGCAGCTCATCTTTATGTGTGCTATAGTAACTGGAAACGAGTTAGCACACAACTCAGCCCGAGTATTTCATCACCGCGCTCGGCCTACTGACATCTCAGACCGCGGCATTCAAGCAATACCGGATACAGCATCGCAGATACACTGCCGCTATATCGTCTGCCAAGACGTTACCAAAGACAAGCTTTGCCTCATCGCGCTAAGTGACTTACCCACGCCGTGGAGATCTGTCTTTGCAGCTGCAAACCGTGTCGTGCAGCAGTACAGTACGGCAGCAATACAGTGCGGCCCAGTGGAGTCCCTGAATAGGGACACACCCATTCCTCTCGCATAAGCTGCGGTGTTGCACTTTCTGCAACAAATGTTTCATTCATTCTTTCAACTGGTCACGAAACTTTGGCATAATGCTACGGGAGAGCTTCTAAGCAGTTTGAAGCTCTGAGGCGCCACTTGCTAGCTCGGACCCAGAATGTAATTAGCACTTCCACTTCATGTTATCCGAGGGAGCTGTTACGCCTAGGAGTCCACACCGAACGTCAGTGCCTCTGCAAAGGCAATCTGTGCCGAGGCCAGCGTTTGGACCCGCTTGACGCGATCAACTCACCGACGTCCTCAAGCGGTGGTGCCGGTCTGTCACGCAACGCACAGCAAGCTCCCTCAGCCCACGAGCCCGTTGAAGCAATCGGCGCCTTCCAGTTTGGCGAGTCTTACGCAATGCGTGGCAACTTCACTCGTCCTTGGGTTACCATGCGCAGTGGCTCAGGATTTGATGAGCATGAAGCGGCCCAGCGGCGGACCCCATTGGAGGATTCTGACATCATGGCCAGTGGCGCTTCTGGTTCGACGTTGGTGACTCCAAGGATCCACCCCGTGCCTATAAAAAAAGCCCTGTGGCGCGTCACCACCAGTAGACCTATGTGTCAGAGAAGCCTCTCGTTGCTTCGAGCCCTTTCGCTGTCGGCGCGGCCAGTGGCCTTGGCAGCGGCGACTTTCGTGGTGCCCGTCGTAACGTCGTCGGCGGTGCGCTTCGTAACAGCGTGTGAGAGAAGACATCTCGTCTCTTCGAGTCCCTAAACTGCCGGCACCAGTGCCGAATTTGTAACGCCTCTATTTCTATGCTGTACATAAACCTTGCCTTAACTCATCATCATCTCGTCCGCTCGTCTATCAGCTCT